TCCCTTCTTCTCCCTTCTTCTCCCTTCTTCTCCCTTCTTCTCCCTTCCTCTCCCTTCCTCTCCCTTCCCCTCCCTTCCTCTCCCTTCCTCTCCCTTCCTCTCCGTTCTTCTCCCTTCTTCTCCCTTCTTCTCCGTTCTTCTCCTTCTCCTTCTTCTCCTTCGTCTCCTTCTGCTCCCTTCTTCTCCTTCTTCTCCTTCTTATCCTTTCTTCTCCTTCTTCTCCTTCCTCTCCTTCCTCTTGCTCTTGCTCTTGCTCTTCCTCTTCATCTTCCTCGTCCTTGTCCTCATCCTCGTGTCTCTCTCTATCTCTCTCTCTCTCTCTCTCCTTCTTCTTCTTCTCTTTCTCCTCTCCTGGTTCTCTCTCCCTCTATATAAATATATTTATATATATATATATCTTTTTTACTTGAGGCCGAGGGTAGGTGACGAAAGCTAGCAGGGATGCATCCGTGTCAGTGGAGGCGAAGCATACAGCGCCGTCTAGTGACAAAGGATTGGTGGGACATCAAGCGGAGTGAGGCAAATCTTTTTTCATAGGCATGGGGCTGTTGGAGGGATGGTTCACAAGGTCTCGCTCGTGAGGTAAAACGTTGTGAACATGTAAGACACACGAACAGCAATGACACAGCCAACCTTAGCTTGTGAATCTGTTGAATCTGTTGCATCGTGTCCCAAAACCTCCACGGAGGAGTTCAACCAAAGTGGATGCCACAAGAGGTGTCCAAGAGGTGTCATGCCCAGAGGCGTCCCAGCGGGGGGTTGAACCCGCGGGGGGGGGGGGGGGGCCTCTACATATGAAGTTTTCACGTGATGCGGCGATCTCGAGGATTCCAGCCCCTCACTTGCTTAAGCAAGGACAACTCCAGCTAGCTGGTGCTAGCTTTCGTGATTTGTTTTGCCCTTTCCCTTTCTCTTTCTCGTTTTCTTTCTCTTTCTCTTTCTCGTTATCTTTCCCTTCCTCTGTCTCTGTCTCTGTCTCTGGCTCTCTCTCTCTCTCTCTCCCTCTCCCTCTCCCCCTCTCCCCCTCTTTCCGTCTCCCCCTCTCTCCTTCTCTCCTTCTCTCCTTCTCTCCCTCTCTCCCTCTCTCCCTCTCTCCCTCTCTCCCTCTCTCC